AAAGAATAAAACCAAAACATTGGAGACATTACAGGGCTTTAAAATCTGATAAAAGTCTACCGGAATGGGCGTCATAATGAACCTTATTGTCTTTACAGTTGTTGCCTATACTTTCGAACTTGGTACTATCAAGCAAAGCACAATAGAGGAAAATCAGTCAAAGCAAAATGGTGAGGGCTATACAGGGTTTCAAATCAAGTTAATAGGAAATCAAAGTTGGTTACTATAATGTATCCTGCTATTTTTTTATTTTTCCCTTAATTAAAAAGAAAAATAAAAAAGTAAATAATTTTAAAAAAGAGACTGAGATAAAAGAGGGCATAACAACAAAACAGCGCAGGTCAAAGCATAACCATTTAAGCAAAATAGTGTTTCACCACAAGACATCCTGACATAAAAGTAGTTACCATAATGTCTCTTTCCTTGAAATCTTTGAGTATAACTTCATATACTGTAGCACCAAACATATAAAGACAATGGAAAACCACTCAAGAGATATCATTTCAGGAATTTCAGGTGTATGGCTTATATTTTCTTCTGTGTTCATGTCATCTATGCATGATTGGGTTGGGCTGAATATCTGATATTGCATTTTGCTCTTTTGTTTGGTCATTTTCCTATATTTCCCAGTTTTGAGTGATGTTTCAAATCTTCCTTCATGCACTTGGAATCACTTGGCCCACTTCTGGCTCCCAAAGCAGACTACAGGCAACTGCTAGGCACTTGGAGCTCAGTGGGCGTGGCCTGTTGGGCTCATGGGGACTCCTGTGTGTCCTCCAGTGATTTCAGAGGGAGGGCATGGTGATACTACCTGGGAGCAAAATTCCAAGGTTTTCCCCTGCACTCAGATTCAATGAGCACACAGTCAATTCCCAGGATTGGATTTCAGCACTGGCTACCTGCTTAGAGTTCGCTGAGCACAGCCCAGTTAGACCCATGGGTACCGCCCATGCATCTTAGGGTGATTTCTGATGTGAGACATGGTCTTACCGACTGGGAGCATAGTTCCAAGGTTTCCCCATATGATGGAATTCAACCAACACATGGTCAGGGTCTGGAACTAGATTTGAGCCCCTGATAGCTCAAAGAATGTAATTGTCATAGTTTTTTCCTAGTATACTTCCAATGTAATATAATGTTGAGACATCATACTGTTCTTTAGTTTTGTGAAACCTGTTATAATGTTCAACTTGTGAAATGTTAAGAATAAGCATCACCAAACAAACTATGGCTTCTGGGGAGTATGTTTCATTTTCTACATGAATAGTTAATATGTTAGCTGTAAAAAATGAACTTATATTTTTATCTGGCAATTATGGCATAAAGGAATTTGTGATTGACAAGAGGTGGAGCATGACAGTTAAAATATCACGTTAACTTGGGTAAGAAACGCCCACTAAATTGGCTCAGCACAGTCCAGGGAGTGGAAAGTCCACTCTAGGAAAGATTGTCACCAGAATGTATCAAAGAGAAGTGAAAAGGGAAGGGTTGTTTCTTTTTCTTGGAGGAGCTGCAGTCTTCACCTTCATTTTGAACACTGTCTCCTGCTTCTACCAGACTTTTCAGCCTCCGGCACTGAGCATGTAGCCTTTCATCAAAGATCCTTCAGCCTTCTGGTACCAACTCAGACAGGACATTATAGCGCACTGCATGATTTTTACTTGATGCTTTGGACCGCAGTACTAGACAGACCTTCTGTGCTCTTTTACATCTGACTTTGTGGGTGACCATATTAAGCCAATCTTGTAAAGTGTTGTATGTTTTTATATCTTGTATTAAATCTATTTCTTTAGTAAGCACTGACTTATACAATGGGCAAGCATTTAATATACTCAAGATGATGAACATAACTAAGCCCTTGCTATATTAATGTGCTTATCATATTTATGTTAACTGGTAGTGAAGAAAAATAATCTAACATAGAGCCTGTCTTATAAGATAATATAAAATAATCACATGCTATGTATTAGAATACACTGAAGAATATTTGCTATTTACACTTGGTATCCAGTGACAGTGAGCACACTGTTGCTGACCAACAGCAAGAGAATTTCTGCTACAAGCATGCATGTATCTCTGAAATATGATGTCTTTAACTGCTTGGAGGAATACTCACAAGACAAATAGTTATACTGAATGGCGTTCATATTTTTAGTTTTTTAAATACTCTGTACACTGAATTTCATAGTAACTGAACTAGTTTACACTCCTATAATCAACACTGACTGATCTCTTTTGTCCTGTAGCTTCATGAACTTTTTTTTCCTGGTGTTTGATGATAGACATTCTTTCTGGAGTAAAATGCTGCTTAAATTTGTCCTTCTCTAATGCCAAAAATGTTGAACAGTTTTTGAGGGTTTTTTTAGGTTCTTATACATTCCAGATATTCATCTTCTGAGGAGGAGCTGGTAACATTTTTTCACATTCTGAATGTCATTTCTTCATTCTGTAGTTTGTTCATTAAATATGCAGAAGTTTTAACTGTCATACACATTTTTTTTTACCAAAAATGCCAGTAAAGTATCAGGAAAACTAATATTTTACGTCTCTATATTAAGAATATAGAACGTTGTGCTTGTTATGTTCATTGTGATTTGGTCTGTGATTCAGGCTTATGTACAATATAAGGCAAATAATACAGATACTATCATGAAAAGAGTATTTCCTGAGCAACAAAATCTTGATTTACAATAGCAATCTTCTATATTCAACCTACTGAAATTTTAACTTAAATTTGTATCTTTCCTTAAATTTAAAATGAGAATATAAAAAGAATTATGAAAAATTTTGCTAAGACAACTAACTACTCAAGTCACCCTCTACAGACTTCAAAAACATTTTTGTCTTGTCGTAGCCTCTCCTGATGCTGGGACTACAGAAATGCACCAAAACATCTGACTTAAGACTTTTACATGTAAGTGACAAAAGGGCAAACACTGACATATAACATTCATATTAAAATAATTTTGACACTCTAGAATAAATCTAGTACTACACCGAGCTACATCTCCAGATATACATGTGTGTTTTGAGATAATGTCTAGTTTTCGAACGATGACAGCAATTTTTTTGAGATAAGATTAAACCCAATCAAAACAAAACAGTGTAAAGTGATACAGACCTTCAAAACAATACTTAACATAATGCCTCTTGTTGTCTTCAAAATAGCTGCCCATAACTTCAGACACAGTAAAAATTAAACAAAACAGAAGAGAATAGAATAAAAACAAAACAATGAATACAATAAAGAACTTCAAAATAAACAGTAAACCCAAAATGGCTACCATAATATACCTTGTTATCTTTCAAATAGCTGCCCATACCATTGAATATAATAAAATCAAACAAGACAAAACAGAATAAAACCCAACCAAACAATGCAAATGATACTACAGGATTTCAAAACAAGATAGCAGGGAATTAATAATGGCTACTACATTCAAAAGGAGGTCCCCCATAGATGCTACACTGCATAGTTATCCTCAAATAGATAGTCAGACTATCAGCTTTAAGCCTGCAAAGTCAGTGAAACATGAAACACTGTAAGCATTAAGCTGTATTTTACCTCATTAACTATCATCACAGCCTGTTTCTATGGACCAGCCAGTCACTTACATGGGAGTTGGACACCTTGATTCATCTTGTCTCCCAGACCTCAAGTTGGAAGGGGCTGACATCTGGTTCTCACCCCAGGAGCCAATATATGGTGCCAACTTGCAGGGAGGGCTTGGCTTCTGGTTCTCCTCCTCCACAGTCCATGAATGGTACCAACTCACAGGAAAAGGATGGTTTATGGTTCTTCCCCCAGCGGCCAGCACATAGCCTGCAATTTCATTTTCCTCTCATCTCTACCTCCTGACTGGGTGGAATTATAGACATGGATCACTGGAAAGAGCAAGATTTTCTGTTCCTCGTAAAATAATGGAAGAACAAATGTGCTCAGGATAAAATGCCTTGTATTTTCAACATCCCATCATCAGCTATAATAGTAATAACAATAGAACTATGTATCTTCCTGGTGATTGTGAGAAGCAGAAGTGAGCCACATGGAAGTTAGGTACACATTCTAGGGTAGTGGTGGTGAAACTATGGCATGTGTGTCACAGTGGGCATGCAAAGCCCTCTCTGCCAGCACAAAAGCCAAGCATTCAGGTTTTTTGTTTTGTTTTGTCTTTTTCCTTTTTATCGGTACCGGGAATTGAACTCACGACGGCCTGCTTGCAAGTCAGGTGCTTATGCCGCTGAGCCCGCCAGCCCCCCAAGCATTCAGGTTTAACTGTGGTGTTGGCATCTCGCCATAAAAAGTGGGTTTTCGATTGCAGTTTAGGCACTAGATGTCTAAAAAGTTCCCCATCCCTGTTTAGGTTGTAAAAAGTTAAGACTATTCTATAGGATGTCACATTCCATAAATTAGATATTTCAGAAATAAAGTAGACATAATTTTAGATGATATTACCCAATTGGTAATTTATGTGTAAGCACAATTATAGGTAGAGCAAGCTATATAATATTCACTGCATTATGGTTTTTTAATACTGTGCACTTATTAACATAGGTTTATTACATTCTCCCATCAGAAATGGTGTTTTGCTTTTAAGACCACTGTATAAAACATTTTACAAAGTATTTCACTATTTAATTTTCTTATATTTTTTGTTTTATTTTGAGACAATCTCACTATGTTTTATACGCTGTCTTTGAACACACTATGTAGCTCAGCTTAGCCTTGAAATCTCAGCAATCCTCCTCCCTCAGCCTCTTGAGTCCTTGGATTACAGGTGCACACGCTATGCCCAGTTTCAATATTAAAAAGAAAGGCAAAAGTCTTAGTCAAGGAGATCAGCTGGGCCGCATGCTCATTCCCTGTCTAAAGCTATGGATGTGAAAGTATTTTTCACACACTCAGCCATCAGACAGTGGTATTCACAGATAGTGAATAAATCTATCGTGAAATTGGTAAAACAAGACACAATCTGAATCATATATTAGTAAACTTCCCCTTTTTACTAAACTCAATGTTTATTTTCCTTCATTTCACCTTCTGAGATAAAAGCAATATTGATTAACAAATACAATGTCACTCATGATATCAGGGAATAAAGGAATTTGCCTCATTACATCCAATGACAATCATTTTCCCCCTCAAACAACTCTACTGTCAACAAAAATTCCTCTGAAAATATTGTTACTGGTAAATCATATCACTATTATGCTTTTTGGAGATTTATTACTACAATTTATAATGTCCTTTTAGAGACAAGTTGTGATCTTGATTTGTGGCAATAAGAATTTCACGGCAGTACCATTTATGTTTTGGTTCAAGTAGTGGAAGAATTACCACAAAACTTATAGTCATCACAATGCAATCACGAAAAGTAAAATTTGATGAGAAAACATAACAATGTAGGTAAATGGTAATAATCCCTTAAAATGACTGGAATAGTCAAAATTATGTATTTGATATAATATACAATTATATTGCGATAATGCAGCTATCTTCTCAGGGTATGAAAATAATGTTTTGCTTCTCTACTAGTGGTATGAAAACAACTGAACTTTATCAGAAACACATGTTCACTAGTCTCTCTCTATATATATACATGGATATAAATATATATATATTACATCAAGTTCAAACATATTTTTGTTATACAAAATATAAAATGTATGCACCAACAATTTAAATCAAGATAGTAGGAAATCCCAACATATTAACAAAAATGTTTTTACTTCCCAATGGTGAAGAGAAAATAAAAACAAACTCCACTTGAACATGAAAAGTGTGTTTTCATTCACCTTATTTAATTAAAAGGCCCTATGTGTTAACCTCAAAAACACTCAGTTACAAAAATATATTATGTCAACTCAGTTTTTTATAGCAAATACTACTGACACATAGTTCAGTTACAAGTGATTTACTAAAAAACACAAAATGAATATGCTCCCATCTGGGAATATATTTTTTGGTTTCTCCCTAGTGTAATTTCCTTCACGTATTTGATACTTTGTCAACTACATTTTTCCCCACATTTCTTACATACATAGTTACTCCCTGGTGTGACTTCTTTTATGCCTCCAAAATGGAGAGCTTGAAGCAAATCCTTTCCCACACTGCCCACATACATAGGGTTTCTCCCCAGTGTGACTTCTTTCATGTATTTTGCTATATTTGTGTGTAATGAATGCTTTTCCACATTGCTTACATACATACGGTTTCTCCCCAGTATGAATTCTTTCATGTATTTTACAATAACTGTGTGTACTGAAAGCTTTTCCACACTGCTTACATACATAACGTTTCTTCTCAGTGTGACTTCTTTCATGTATTTTATAATAACTGTGTGTAGTGAATGCTTTTCCACATTGCTTACATACATACGGTTTCTCTCCAGTATGAATTCTTTCATGTATTTTACAATAACTGTTTGTCATGAACGCTTTCCCACACTGCATACATACATAAGGTTTCTCCCCAGTGTGACTTCTTTCATGTATTTTATAGTGATTGTGTGTAGTGAATGCTTTCCCACATTGCTTACATGCATAGGGTTTCTCTCCTGTGTGATTTCTCTCATGTAGTTTATAAGAACCATGTGAAGTGAATGCTTTCCCACATTGTTTACATTCATAGGGTTTCTCACCAGTGTGGATTCTTCTGTGTCTACGAAATGAGGACTTAGTGGCCAATCCTCTTCCACACTGGTTACATATATAAGGTTTCTCACCTGTGTGAGTTCTTTCATGTATCTGACAATATTTTTGTGTACTAAATGCTTTCCCACATTCCTTACATGCATAGGGTTTCTCCCCAGTATTTTTCAGTATATGTCTACAAAATGAAGACCAATCAGAAAATTCTTTATCACACTGCTTACACACATAGGATTTCTTACCAATGTGACTTCTTTTATGACTATACAAAGAGAACCTAGTGGTGAATCCTTTTCCGCATTGCTTACATTTGTAGGGTTTCTCACCTCTGTGAATACTTTCATGTATTTTACAATAACTGTGTGTACTGAAAGCTTTCCCGCACTGCTTACATACATAAGGGTTCTCCCCAGTGTGACTTCTTTCATGTACTTTATAATAAGTGTGTGTGGTAAAAGCTTTCCCACATTGCTTACATACATAGGGTTTCTCACCAGTGTGTGTTCTTTCATGTAGTTTACAGTTACTTTGTGTAGTGAATGATTTCCCACATTGCTTACATACATAGGGTTTTTCACCAGTGTGAATTCTTTCATGTAGTTTACAGCTACTTTGTGTAGTGAATGATTTCCCACATTGCTTACACACATAGGGTTTTGCACCAGTGTGAATTCTTTCATGAATTTTACAATAACTTTGTGTAGAGAATGCTTTCCCACATTGTTTGCAAACATAAGGTTTCTCATCTGTGTGATTCCTTTCATGTATTTTACAATACCTTTGTGTAGAGAATGTTTTCCCACATTGCTGGCATATGTAAGGTTTCTGTCTCATGTGACTTTTTTCATGTACTTCACAATAACTCTGTGTAGTGAATGCTTTTCCACATTGCTTACATACATAGGGCTGCTGCAAAGTGTTAATTCTTTTATGACTATGAAAGGAAAATTGATGAGCTAATGCTTTTGTATGTTCCTTAGACACATAAGACTTCTCTCCATCGCATCTTCTTTTAGGTACTTGAAAATAGTATGAAGAAATAAATTGTTTGCCTACATGTAGATTACCCTCACTGTAGTTTCCATCATGGATTCGCGCACCACTGGGTGCACTGGAAGATTTCAGACTCTTCTTACCTACAAAGGTCTTCTCTGCAGGGTGAGTCCTTTCACTAATATCAGAGTATGTTCTCTCATGTTGTTCATATTGATATTGTTTCTCTCCAGTTTTCCCCTTTGTATGCTTCTGAAAGGACTGGAAATCACTGTCTTTTCCATTTTCACCACATTGGTACAGCTTCTCTCCAAATCCCAAATACTCATGTGGTTTCAGTCCAGTGTGAGCTCCGATGGGCACAGTCAGTGACAAATGATCAATCTGGGGCTTTCTACCAGAAAGGCTCTCCGCTGGTTTGAAAGCAGCTTGCTGCATGTTCACATTGGCATCTGGAGTCCAAAGGACTATTTCTTCTTGCTGATTCCAAGTTTCATACTGATAGCATTGCTCTACTTCTTCACATCTGTAAAGAAAAAACTATCAATCACAATGAAAAGGGTCTCCATACCCTTTACCAGGACAAGTTTTGGGTTGATGCCTGCTAAGAAACTCTGACAGTGAATTGACTGAATGCCCTGGAGGGTCCCTTCAAAACATGCATTCCCAGAAGGAAAGTACTCATTTGGGAACTTTTCTTACTGCTATACGTTTTCAGTACATGAGTTCGACTTTCATTGCGGGAGATTGGTACATATACATATCACAGTGATCATTTTTGATACTTTTCTCCTATTATTCTCCCACTTCTCTCCTTATCACAATCGCATTTCCCACATCACGTTGCCAACTCCAGATAGTCAGCCCTTGTATTTTGTCCCATTTCTCTTTTATTTTACTCCCTAATTTATTTTACTCCCTAATTTATATTTTTATTGCTCATAGAAGAAAACACATGATGGGGCTGGGGATTTAGCTCAGTGGCATAAGCGCCTGCCTTGCAAGCAGGCAGTCGTGAGTTTGATCCCTGGTACCGATAAAAAGAAAAAAGACAAAAAAAAAAAAAAAAAACATGATAATTTGCTTTCTGTCTCTGACTGAAATTCAGACAGTACAAAATGGAGTCTCATACTCTTGCTTTTGGCAAATTATATGATACAATTTTTTACAGACATATATTTAGGAATTTCTTTCATAATGAAATGCAGGTCTGAGCATGAAATTGTATCTCCAGCTTTTCTTTTAATTGCTTATTTTTAGAAAGATTCTCATTGAATATTAATTTGCTCAGGCTGAATGTCAAGCGGTCATCCTGCTGACTCAGCTTTCCAGAAAGCTGGGATTAGAAAATGCATCATCATGTTCAGAGTATCACACACAATTTGCTTGATCCATGCATTCAGTTATGTGCATCGAGGCTGTTTCCAAAGCTTAGCTATTGTGAATATTCATGCATATCCTGCTTTTGCATGCCCTGCTTTGAGCATGGGCATTCATAAATCACCAAAATATGATAATTTTAATTTCTTTCAGTATATGCCACACGGCATACACCTGTATCAAATGGATCCTTCTAATTTTACTTTCTGAGAAAGTTTTATATTAATTATATCACACTGGTTCTATTTTACATTCCCACCTACAGTATGTGAGGGTGCCTTTTAAGAATTTTAAAACATGAAAGAACTCAGTTATCTGAGGGATGCTTTCAAAGGGCTGAGGATTTAGCTCAGTGGATTAAGTGCCTGCCAGGGAAGGGCAAGGTCACTGAGTTAAATCCCAGTACCAATAAAAAAAAGAAATAGTGGCAAAACATCATTTATTACACAACTAGTATTCATTTGCATTTTGAATACTGCTTTCAGGTAGGAATTTTTTAGACAGTAACTCATACATACATACATAAATACAGTAGATATCCTTAAAATGGGTTTTTTTCAAAATTCAAAATTAATTCTTCTCACATATGCCTATATACAATACCTAAATGCAGCTGGGCATAGTGACACATGCCTATAATCCAAGAATCAACCTGTATGTATCCCTGGAGAACTTTTGTGGGATTAGGGAAACTTAAAAATGGCCTCATTTGTACAGGTTCTCTGCTTGTAATATATCTGCTCACACTATGACACATCAGGAATTTGCTTTTGTGAGTGCAAATTACCTTAGATTTCGTGAGAAATTTGTGTGCTTTTCTTCAATTTTCTGGTTATCCCAGGTTCTTCCTGAATTACAGACATAAAAATATAAAAAGTTGCTATATTATTTTATAAAAATAGATGTCAGTTAGATTCATGGTATAACGCTACCAGGCCTGAGATAATCTTCAAAATGTTTTCACATTCTAAGCAATGAAATTTCCCCACTGAATAAGAACCAATGCTCTCTGACTGTATAAATGAGAAAATGATGCCATCCTTACCCGTAGCAGTTACATTCATAAATGTTTCCCACATCACATCTCTGTAGAGCTTCTTTTGGGATGAATTCAGCAAAGCCCACTCTTCCATGCTAAAGTTCACAGCCACATCCTCAAAGGCCACTGTTTCCTAAATAATCACAATATGTTTACTGAAGAACATTGAGACTCACAGCCTAAGATATCGTAATTCCTCTCACAAAAAGCTGAACTGAGGTTGAGTCCTTCAAATATTAACTCCATGTGTTGCACATATGTATATGTGATACTGTGTAGACATTTTCACACAGCCATTCTGACACTAGATTACAACTCATTGCTAAAACAACAGCAGAGTAGTAGCACTGATAACTCTGCTGGGTCACCCAGTTGTATTTGTGCACCATATCGAAAGCAGCTCAAAGGAAGCCTGCAAATCACCATTCTAAAACAGAGGGGCAGATAAATATCTAATAAATGGCTTTAAAAATCACAAGTACTATCTCTTCTCAAGTCACATTATTAATGTAATTGAGTCTTTCTTTGATTGTACTTAGACATCATTTTGAAAGTTGAATCTGGTTACACAGAAAAGACTGAATATTAAATAAGGTTTATGGAATCCGGGTCACTGACAGCATGCAAGGTGAGTTCCAGCAAACCAGAGCAGTCCCAGGGAGAGTTTAAGATTGTCACTCCGAGAGGTTAAGTGCCTACCCAGCCACACTGGACTAGGCTCGGCAGATTTCATGGGCCTGAGTCATGTCCAGAGACATTCTTTCAGTCCAGGGACATTGGCCACACGAGATGAGTTCCAGCACTCTGGCACAGGCACAGGGACAGTCTAAGTTCATCATTCCCAGCAATTAAGGGCCCATCCAGCTTCAGACACACTGGACTAGGATCAGTCCCTCTCGTGGACCTAACTAGACCACCCCCAGAGACTTTCATTCAACCTGGGAGGTGAGGCCATTCGAGGTAGTTCCAGCACACTGCTGCAGGCCCAGGGAGTTTAAGACCATCACTCCGAGCGGTTGAGTGCCTGCACAGCTTTCAGACACACTGGACTAGGCTCAGGAGGTTTCACTGCCTGACTAGACCACACCCAGGGACCTGCATTCAATCAGGGGAGCTGAGGGAAAGCAAGCTGAGTTCCAGCGCATCAGTGCCTACCCAGAGAGAGCTTCAGACCATTACCCACAGTGGTTAGGAGCCCGCCTAGCTTCCTGGAATACCAGGTGGCACGGGAGGTCCTGCAGGCCTGACTGGACCATGCTCAGCAAGCTCCATCCGGTCCCAGGAGCCAAGGACATAGGAGGCAATTTCCAACATGCCCAAGGGAAGCTTTGGAACATCACTCAAAACATGGAAATTAGGAAAATGACAAGAAAAAAAAACAAAATGCAATCTCAAACCTCCAACCTATCCCAAGAAAGCCTAGTAGCCATGTACTTAGAAGAAAACATAAGCCATACACCAGAAATACCTGAAGTAATAGCAACTGAAATAAAGACACAACTCCAGGAAGCTATAAAGGAATTCAAATTAGAAATAATCTCCCAGGTAAAAGGCGACATGAAAAAAGTAATGAAAGAGATGCTGAACACATCTAAAGAAGACACAGTTCATAAATTAGAGGAACAAAACAAAAAGAATGCCTGGATGAACAATCAAAGAAACAAACAATACATGAAGTAGATTCAGAAAGATATACAGGAAATCAAAAATTCCACTGAAAGTTGTCAAAACCACTTCAACGAAAGTAAAGATAGAATTTCAGACCTCAAAGACAAGATTACAGCTAGTGAACAGGAAAGGAAAGAGCTTTTAAAAATAACAAGGAATCAGGAAATAACAATTCAACAGCTGCAAGGTCAGGCAAATAAAAACAACCTAAGATTGATAGAGATAAATGCAAAAGAAGGGGACAACACAAAATAATATCAAGAGGCTATTTACAGAAGTAATAACTGAACATTTCTCAAACATGAGAATGGAAACTGACATATGGATTAGTGAAGCATATAGAACTCCAAATAGCATAACCAAAATAAAACTACACCCAGACATATAATAATCACCATCCCAGAAACACAACATAAAAACAGAATATTAAAAGCTGTTAGAGACAAGACAGATCACCTATAAAGGAAAGCCTATCAGAATTACAGCAAACTTCTCAACACAATGAAGTCAAGAAGAGGATGGAGTGAAGTATTTCAGATCCTAAAGGAAAATGACTTCCAACCTAGATGGATGTACCCTGCAAAACTGTCCTTCAAAATGGATTGCGAAGGCCTAGGGATTTAGCTCAGCAGCACAAGCAACTGCCTGGCAAGTGTGAGGTCGTGAGTTCGATCCCCAGGACCGCAAATAAATAAATAATAGAAAAGAAAAAGAAAAACAAAATGGATGAAGAAATAAGATACTTCCATGACAAAGAAGAGCTGAAGAACTTCATGATCACCAAACCAACCCTGCAAAGAATACTGAAAGACATTTTATATACACATAGGACAAAACCACAAAGCAAAGCAGACAATTAAACAGAATGGAAAAGTAAAGATACAACAGCAGAAAGATAACATGTCAACAATAAACCAGTATATAACAGTTAAGCCATTAATGTAAATGGTGTCAATGCACCAATTAAAAGAAACAGACTGGCAGAATGGATCAAGAAACAAAATCCAACCATATGCGGTCTACAAGAAACCCATCTAACCCAAAAGGAAACTCACACACTGAAAGTCAAAGGATGGAAAACAATTCTTCATGAAATAGGAACTCAAAATAAAGCAATGGGTAGCCATTCCCTTTGCAGGCAATGTGAACTTCAAAGCAAGAATGATCCAAAGAGATAAAGAAGATGATTACATAGTAGTTAGGGGAAAACTTCAAGAGGAAGAAATAACAATCTTAAACATATATGCAGCAAATTCCAGAGCACTCAGATACATAAAACAAGTATTAACGTAAAAGAAAAATCAAAAAAGCAATAATACAACTATAACAGGAGACCTTAACACAACATTGACATAAAGGGACAGATCAACAAAACAGAAAATCAGCAAAGAAATAACAGAACTGAATCATACCTGGGAACAAATGGACTTGATAGACATATACAGAGTGTTCCATCCAATTTCAGAATATACATTCTTCTCAGTAGTGCATGGGACATTCTCTAAAATACACCATATACTAGTCCACAGAACATATTTAAGTAAATGCAAAACAACTGAAATTATTCCATGCATGTTATCAGATCATAGCACCACAAAACTAGAAATTAATGATAAAAGAAACTGCAAAAACCCCACTAAAACATGGAAATTGAATACTACATTCCTGAGCAATCAGGATCACAGAGGAAATTCAACAATACCTACAAGCAAATGAAAATACAAATACAATTTATGAGAATCTGTGGGATGCAATGAAAGCAGTCCTCAGAGGGTTCCTGAGTTCCCACATCAGGAAAACAGAACGAATACAAATAAAAAACCTGATGCTACACCTCAAACATCTAGAAAAAGAAGAGCAAGTCAAGCCCAAAGCCAAAACAAGGGAGGAAATTATAAAAATGAGAGCAGAAATTAATGCAATACAGTCTAAGAAAGCAATCCAAAGAATCAATGAATCAAGGAGTTGGTTATTTGAAAGAATAAAAAAATTATTAAGCCCTTAGCCAACCTTAATTAAAAAAGAAAAGAAAAAGCTCAAATTCATGCAATAAAAAATGAAAAAGGTGAAATCACTAGACTCTGAAAATACAGAAGATCATCAACACCTATTTCAAAAACCTATACTCTCATAGGTTCAATAACACAGAAGAAATGGACAGATTCCTAGAAACATATAACTACCAAAGCTGGGTCAAGAAGATACCAAACTGATAAATAACTCAATTTCTATTAATGAAATTGAAAATGTAATTAAGTCCTTACCTACAAAGAAGAGCCCAGGCCCAAACGGATTTACTGCGGAATTCCACAAAAAAATACAAAGAAGACTTAATGCCGACACTCCTCAAACTCTTCAATGAAATTGAAAGGGAAGCAATTTTTCCTAAGTCAAACTTGGAAGCAAATATTATTCTAGTACCAAAACTTGAGAAAGACACAACTAAAAAAGAGAACTACAATCGCCCTGATGAACACAGATGAAAAAATTCTCAATAAAATAGTGGCAAACAGGATGCAGCAGATCATCAAGATTAGTGATGCAGGAGTGATTCAACATATGTAAATCAATAAATGTAACCCACCATATCAATAGAGGCAAAAGAATCACATGATCATGTCTATATAGGCAGAAAACATTTTTGATAAGGTCCAACACTCATTCGTGATAAGAACCTTACAGAAAATTGGAATAAATGGTCTTTACCTCAATATAATAAAGGCCATCTATGACAAACCAACAGCCAGCATCATACTAAATGGTCAAAAATTGTAGGCTTTTACTTTAAAATCAGGCACAAGACAAGGATGTCCCTTATCACCGCTCCTATTCAATACAGTTCTGGAAATACTAGCCAGAGCAATTAGATAAGAGAGAGAAATAAAAGAAGTAAAAACAGGAAAAGAGGAAGTTCAATTATCATTGTTTGCAGATGACATGATACTCTACATAGAAGACCCCAAAGTTCCATTGAAAGATTCCTATATATAATCATTAAAATCAGTAATGTAGCTGGATACAAAGTCAATACTCAAAAATCAATAGCATTCCTCTACACTAACAACAAAATCACTGAGATCACACTAGCATCCAAAATCACAGTAGCATCCAAAAATATGAAATACTTAGGAATTAATCTCATAAAAGAAACCTCACAAGCAAATGAGAATACAACTTATGAGAATCTGTGGGATGCAATGAAAGATGTATACAGGGAAAATTATACTTGCATGAAAAAAGAAATTGGAAGAGGATCTCAGAATATGGAAAGACATCCCTTGTTCATGAATAGGAAGAATAAATACTGAAAAAACGGCCATTCTCCAGAACTGCTATACAGATTCAGTGCAATCCCAATGAAAATACCATCAACATACCTCATAGATCTGGAGAAATTACTCCTATCTTTATCTGGAACCAGATGAGACCTAGAATAGCAAAGGCAGTTCTAAGCAGCAAGGGCAA